AAAAGTTCTAACCTATATTTGAAAATTGAAATTTCAATTCAAAATTTAAAAATCTATCTTAATGTTGATATCTACATTTGAAAATCGATTATATATAATCAGTTTCTAAATTTAAATATCAACATTTAACAACATAGATTTTTAACTTTTAAATTAAATTTTAATTAAATAAAATGATGTATTTTAAGGTTAAAAGTCCAATTTCTTTCAGAATCGAAAGTGTGTGTGTATATATATATATATATATGAAGATTTAACTTAACTCATTTATTATAAGTTAAATTGTAGATTTAAGTTATCAATTTAAATTATGATGTAATTTCAACTAAAATTATTCAAATCTAAATGAGTTAGATCATAATTTAATTAAGTCAACTTAAAATAACTAAACTAAAATTAATTTTTTTTAAATTTAAAGTTTTGATTAATTATATTTTTAAATTTAATTTTTAAATATAAAATAAAATATGAGAAAAGTGTGTAACAATTCTAACTCCCAAAAATAATTAGAGTTCTAACCTTAAACCGCATTGTTTTATTTGATTAAAACTTAATTCAAAATTTAAAAAATTATCTTTTTAAATGTTGATATTTATATTTAGAAATTGATTATATTAGAATATATAATTGATTTTTAAATTTAAATATCAAATTGAATTGAATGAGATTTTAATTTCTAGATATAAGTTGAGACTCCAATTGTTTTAAGAATTATGACCGATATGTGCTAATCTTACAAAATATTATAAAATAATTATTATTTATTAAATTATTAAAGTTAATATTAATGTAATATTTTTTTACTAAACAATTAGTTAATATTATATTTTTTAAAAAAAAATTAAAAGAATTTAAAAAATTAAATCACCAAACTCAATTTAAAATCTATGAGTGGACTATGAATCTATCTCTTTAACTCAAAATTTAAATAAGCTGAACTTAATGTGTTTAAAATTTGAAATGCCCCAATCCGAGACTCGGTTGAAATCGTAGGGAAAATCATTGTGTTTGGATATGTATTCGGGGTATTTGGATTAGGCCTGAGAATCCACAAATATTGGTGGTTGGCCTAGATGAGAGTGGATCGAATGCTAATACTCATGTCATGACCATGGGTATATGTTTTCGTTTTATCGTGCTCAGTTGCATAATGGCATTGTTATGTTTTGGTATTCGATTATACATTTTTATTTTATCCAAATTTCACGCCTTTTAGTTCTCTGATTTACATCAAGTGGCGCTTACAAGATGACTTTTACCATACTCTCAAAATATGCGTTAAAAATACCGTAGACGTCCCAGCATAGCCAAAAGCCCAGCCCAGTTTTTTTTTTTTTTTTGATAAGAACAATGATTAGTAAGTTAAAATTATTAGATGCTAATAATTGAAAATTCAATCCTTAAATCAAGTGAACAGTCTAACAACCTCAAAGAAGCACATAATAATAAGGCCACTTGGTGGAGTTCAAAAGCCCAGCCCAGTTGATAGGCCAAAATTATGTCCTAAACACTTTCCAAGTAAAAACCGAAGACAAAAGTAGTACAACGTTAGAGACAACAAGAAGAAATCAGAGAAAAAAAAAATTTTTTAAAGTGCTAGACTACTTGTCACGTCATGTCATGTAAAAAAATAAAAAATAAAATTAAAACAAAAATAAACAGAGCACGATCTAAGCCTGGCAAAATTTAAGAATGCCATCTGCAGTGCAATCATTCAAATTCATTATAAAACTAAAATGCCCAAATCTTTTATACTTCCAAACTGTAACTAAAAAAAAAAAAAAAAAAAAAAAAACCTCAATAAAACTTGTTCTGCTTTGTTTCAATTTGGGTTCACCTGCAATTTCTGAACCAAACTTTCAAACTCTAGCCCTCTTGCTACTGCAAGTTGGGCACTTGTATTGCTTGATATGCTCAGCCTTTGCAGGAGTAATCTTTACGCATTTCCCATGAAACCATCTCTCACAGATATCACAGCAAATCCAAAACTCGTCCGCCCCATAGCTTTCTCCGCATGCCCCACAGGTTGCACCCTGCTCGTCATCTTCTTCATCTTCTTCCCCGCTCTCATCCTCCTCCTTAGGTGGTGGTGACGTCTTCACCACCTTAGACTGGGGTTCAGGCTGACGAGACTGCAAACACCAAGTAACAAATTTATACATTATACATTTTGATAACTAAGAAATAGAAAAAATAATCTTGGCATTTCTTACCACCTTCCCACTGGATTTGTTGCTTTTGCCACTATTGTTGTGATTAGCAGACTGCTCCTTCGGTTGCTTAGCATTGCCTGTAACCACTTCAAATATGGTTGGCATTTCATTTATCATCTGGAAAAGCCTCTTCCTGTAAAATCCAATTACACCTAATTTAGCACTACAAAATCACAATGATTGAGAAAGTGGGTTTTTGATCATCTACTACAGTACACTGGTTGATTCACTCAATTACATTCTTGTACAGGGATAAAAGGAAGAGTAGAAACATATGTCCACTTAGGAAACTGTACAAGTTGAAATATATATATACATATATATATCTAGACATACACAAAAAATTTATAAATACAATGTCCACAAAAACATATGTACAACAACCTAATCTATAAGCTTTGGCATCTTCTCTTCTCAAATTGAAGCTGCGTTTTTGAGCTTATCAAGCTGAGATGTTAACCAGTGCAATAGAATTTTTCAAGAATCAAAATCATCAAACATATCCGTCAATTCAAACCCAACTTTAAGTGAAACCAATTACAGGTCTACCAAGTAATAGAACTTAGAAGGAATAAAACAAAGTCATTGTCAAACTTTGCAGAACAACTTTTGTGCTTCAAGTCAAACAAATGCTTGCTAATATTAAAATCTAAATGTAAAACCTTCAAATGAAAAGAAGAATAACTTTCGTGGTCCAAATCTAAAACAAATGCTTCCTGTACCATGCACTTTCAATAGATCCAAGACAACAACAAAAGGAAGTTTGATGAAGGTAGAAAATATGAGCCACAGATCAACTGATGTTTAAATGCTGAAATATCCAAAGAGAGGCAAAAATGTACCTAATAGAACATTAATGAATAGTAAGACTATGAAAAAGCTATTCAGAGCACCTCCCCCCCAAGCCAAAAAACAAAGAGTCAAACAGAGACATGGCCTGAAACTATTGAACTGATACTATGAATGATGTTTATACAAAATTGTCACTAATTGTCAAGTACTTAACTATATCACATGGTTAAAACTTTCCTTTTACATGATTCAAGGATCATCTTTGTAACTTAACAAAGAAATTCAAAGTAACTCTCACACCAAATTATGTGTTTGCTTTTGATATTAGTACATATGAAAAGGCAGAATATCAGTTTTCTCTTAAATGATACTTAAAAGAGGGAATAGTTGACACAAAAAGAAGTAAACATACCTTTCATTCTTACCAAACCCAAATCGTGCACCAAAGTAGAAAGCAACAGCAAGCAACCATGAATCACTGTGGACTGCAACCAGTGACAGCCAGTCTTTCTCTTGCATCCCATCCCTAGCAAAGTTAATGCCCAATGCAGGCTCTGGAAGTTCAGGAGGTACCTCCTCAACAGGCAAATTAACTTCCCATGTCTCATTTGGAAGCCCATAGAGGCATAAGTTCTCCTTCTCTGAAAAGAAATTGACTACCTTTAGTGATATGCACCATGAACAAAGACCATATAATGAACTTTTTTTAAACCACTGAAATGGTTAGGCAGCAGACTTCCTATACACCAAAAATATATTTTCAGTCTCTTCAGTTCCTTTCCTTCTACAGTATAAATTTTTATGGGAATTAAATACTTGTGGCTGGGTATATAACATGAGAGCCAACAAATCAACAAAGAAACCATCAACTCAAAAAAAAATTCCACATATCATACATTTTAACACAATAAGGAGCATGACGGATAAATGCCATGAACAGAGGGAAAACAATATTGGTTAATTAAGTCAAAAAAGTCCACTTCCAACAAATAGGTATAAAAATGGATCCAAACTCAAAATTGTAGCCCACCAATGAGAAATTCAACATCTAGAAAGTGAAGTATATCCCGTTAGGCAGCCATGTTATTTGTTAGCCAAGGCCCAAGATTATGGATGCAGTATGAACAAGTCCTTATCACTCTCAAAAGCACACAGCAGAAATATCGTATGGATGCAGCAACAAAAAAAAAAAAAAAACTGCCTTCAAACAAAACATCCCATTCTGCATTTGCTTATCAGAACTTCAAAAACTCCAAAAACGCTCAAGAAAAGAAGAGAAACACACACAAACTTAGCAACCCATAGATACACAATATAATTGTTTATCATCAATTCACACATATAAACCTAGAGAAAAAAAAAAAAAGTCAGAAAGAAAAAAAGGGAGAAAAAGGTAATTAAAGAAAAACAACCCACCAGGATCACACTGCTGATAAAACTTGTCGACATCTGCAAGACAAACAAAAACCATTAATTAATTTTCTGTTTTTGGAACATAACAGCCATTAATTACATAGCTAACATAGCATAACCCCAAATATGGAAAAATGTTAACTGTTTATAGATTTTCTGTAAGTATAAAAACAAAGCATAAACAGAAGAGGAAAGAAACAGAAAATGAACCAGTGGTGAGAGCCTTAATCAAGCCAGTGCGTCTGCCTCTGAAGTCACTAAAGACCTCTTCCACTGTTCTGGGTGTCGTAGGTGGTATCCCTTCCATTCCCTCTCCGTTGAAAATTCCCCTATGGATTTCCTTCAAAAACAGAAGAATAGTAGATCTAGTCTAGATATAAATGTAGAGGCACAGCATAGAAGATGGTAAATAATGGAAATTGAAGAGAAGTGAATGGGAACGAGGGGATGAGAATAGTAATTGGGGCTTGTAGGATTTTGTTTGTTCACACAGTTGGGCTTCGGGAATTAAGGATTTGATATGATGAATTGAATTCAGAAAAGAAGGAG